GCGACCACTCCTTGGGTTTCCGAGGCAGTATCACTACGGAAGTAGGATTGCCCAACCTTCCTTCCGAGGAGTGGCTGGTGGGTTTGAACTGCCAGCCGTCTGGTTAGCAGGCAAGTGTCTTAGCCACTATGCTACCAGAGCTCCCATTAGATGATGTCAAAGACAAATGCCTTCTATCATTCAATCTGTGACATAAACTTAATGTAAGGGTGGAGTGTACTTATAAGGCTAGATTTGAAATCAACACTACCTGGAAAAAGGAGGTTAAAAAAAAACACCTAGGAAAATACTTGATTTGGTGATTACTTAATGACTTGGGTCATTTCTTACTAAGATGGAGGTTTGGGCTTGGTGAAGATGGTCAAATTGTCTGAGAAATTTTCCTCTGTTCCTCCAAGGTTTAGATTCTCATGTCAGCTACTCTGAGTGGTAAGCAGAGCTGGTGTGAAGGAAACTCCTCCGGGCTGCTTTGTGCAAAGGAAATTTACAGCTAAATGTTATGCCCCATACATAACTCTTTAAGTTCAAAGTTCCACAAGGTAAATCAGCTGAATTAAATATTTCCAGAATGACAAACAGCTCACTCATAACTTCCACTTCACTCCAAATATTTTAAGTTATGATAATGTTAATGCATGAGAAAAATCATATGACTTTCGTCAAACGTTTGAGTCACTAGTGTGATGTGCATAGAGCTATATGGGTCCTATGGAAGCAGAGGTGTCTGTCTGCCTCTAAGATTCTCTGAGTCTAGTGTGGAAAGACTCAAGTAGAAACCATTCGTTGCAGCTACCCTGAAGGGAGGTGCTGAGCAGAGAAAAGTCATGGAAGAAGGTGCATAGTCCTGTCTAGGCACCTAGGTGATTTCTGTTCTGTGTCTACAAGATGAAGGGATTTTCCCAGTCTGGTCATCAAAGATGAGATGATGTGGGAAATGGATATGGAGAATTGGCGGCAAAGCCCTGTGGGTGTGGAGGCAGTAGTAGGAACACAGAAGAGAAGTCTCGAGGAACTGCTGTGATGTGATTCAGACACTGGGAGCTCTGTGTCCTGATTCCTTTATACCTCCTAATGCTGTTAATGATTAAGGGTGAAGTGAGAGTACAGAAACCAAAACCACAAATAAGAGCAACACCTACAAGGGTAGAATCTTAAAAAAAAAAAAAAAAAATTCACTGCCATCGAGTCAATTCCAACTCATTGTGACCCCATTGTGTTTCTGAGGCTGTAAATCTTTACAGAAGTAGATTGCCCCATCTTCCTTCCACACAGCAGCTGGTGGGTTTGAACCGATGACCTTCTGGTTAGCAGCCAAATGCTTTATGCACTACTCCACCAGAGCTCCTTTATAATTAGAGTATTAAGGGTAAATGATCTCCTATATGGAGTTAAAGGAGTCCTGGTGGCACAGTGGTTAAGCACTTGGCTACTAACTGAAAGGTCAGCTGTTGGAACCCACCAGCTGCTCTGTGGGAGAAAGATGCAATTTGCTTCCTTAAAGGTTTAGAGCCTTGGAAACCCTTTGGGGAAGCTCTACTCTGTCCTTTAGGGTGCTGTGAGTCAGAATCAGCTCAATAGTAATGGGTATTTTAAGTTTGTGTGTGTGTGTGTGTGTGTGTGTGTGTGTAGTAGCATAGTGCCTAAGGCATGTGACTGCTAACCAGAAGGCTGGCGGTTCAAACCCACCAGCCACTCTTCGGAAGGAAGATTGGGCGGTACAGATACTGACTTGAAAACCCAAGGAGGGGCCGCTATGAGTCGAAATCGACTCGATGGCCGTGAGTTTGGTTTGGTTTGCTGTTATGTGCCATCCAGTCGGACCCAACTCATAGCGACTCCTCCTTGGGTTTCCGAGGCAGTATCACTATGGAAGTAGATTGCCCAATCTTCCTTCCAAGGAGTGGCTGGTGGGTTTGAACCTCCAGCCTTCTGGTTAGCAGTCAAATGCCTTAAGCACTATGCTACCAGAGCTCCCTTGGTTTGGTTTAGTATATATATAAATTCTTTTATCCATGGCTTGTTGGATATTGGTGAGAATTTTTTTTTTTAAGTTCCATGGCAGAAATCATTAAAATACTTACCAAATTTTGTTTTCCTTAATCCTCATAACCACAAGAGGTAGGACACATCATGCTAACGAAAAAAGTGAGAGTAAAATTCTTGCTACTTATTGCAATGTGTTTATCTGTCTATCTCTAATCTTTCAGGACTTTTTGTCTGTGGCAGATATTATTGACTACTTCAGGAAAATGCCACTTCTGCTCATCGATGGGAAAAACCGAGGTTCCAGATACCAGTGCACCTTAACGCACGCTGCAGGGTATCCCTAGCAAGTTAGCCAAGAAATGAACCTTCCTCTTGCTTCTGTTGCCAGCATGGGAAGATGTGTCACCCTTAGGGAATGGACAAAGCTTGAGACCGAAGAGAACCCCTCAACATGGAACACAAGGGTTTTGTCCTTTCATTTTTTTTAAGAGTTTGAAAGAAGACTGTCAAATACTCCATAATTTATTTATTATTCTTCAGTGTTTGTAAAGTGCATGAGTTATGACATCATGCTTAAAGTCTAGTAGTGCACTTTAATAATTCATGGAAACAAAACAGATGTGTATTTTTGAACACCCATTTCAAAGTACAGAAGTTTATACAGTTACAGAAAATTCTGGAGCAACCTTAACATTGAACTAGTAGTTTTTGGTATCACATGAAACTTTACTTTCTTCAGTAGACAAACCTTTGTCAGTCAGAGGCAATCATCAGTTTTATACATATAATTTGGAAATTATTAAAATTGACTTTCTCAGGAGCAATAATTTAAGAGGCTTAAATATACAATTTTATTCTTTCTTACTTGGTGGTATTTGCTAGGAGGGGGATTTTTGTGTACTTTTTTAATGAAAAGATAAATGCATGCTGGGATAACTTCCTGGGATTAAAATTAATTTGTCCTTTTGCTTGACTTTTGGGTTCCTAAAACATTATTGACTTTACTATTTAGTCCATACTATTATTATCATTATTTTTGTTTTGAAGCAAATTTAAACTACAAATACTATCAGAAAAACATTTTAAATTTAGAGATGAGACACAGACTTTCATGTCTAACACACTTGGGTTTAAGTTGGCACTTAATCATGTTCCCACATCCACATTCCAGACCCCTCCTCTGGGACCCTCTCCATCTCCAAAACACTGCCAAGTGATGTGGACTTTATGTAACCAAGACTTCTGGACACATGAAGGAGCAATGCACAAACAGAGAAAAATGTAATCAGACTTTGCTATTAGATACTTCTCTTCCCTTTCTCTCTCCATCTCTTTTTGTCCTTAACGACAGTTGTAAAGCCCTTCAACAGCATTTGTAAAGCCTCTTCCTCCTTTCCAAAACCAAAAACCAAACTCACTGCTGTGGAGTCAGATCCGACTCATAGCGACCCCTCCTTGGGTATCTGAGGCAGTATCTCTATGGGAGTAGATTGCCCAACCTTCCTTCCAAGGAATGGCTAGTGGGTTTGAATCACCAGCCTCTGGTTAGCAGTCAAATGCCTTAGGCACTATGCTACCAGAGCTCCCTCCTTTCCAAAAGGGCTCTGTAAATCTTCCAAAGCAATGTAGTTCTCTCCTCCAGTTTACATATCTCACTTAACAAAAAGTAGTAGACATTTGGCAAAACATAAACCTGGTGCTCAGCAAAACACTGGCAACTGATTGTTCAAGTTTTTCTCTTTGGGCCATCTGTTATTATTCCACATGTTTTACTAACAACAAAAACATTTTATTTCTCTGCTAAATTTTCTAGTTTTCTGAGTGGCAAATAATATCTTCCATCTTCATGTTCATGAACTAAGAGAAAGAATATTGGAAGAGGTCTTAGAAATCATCTGATCCAAACTGATGAATTCCTAAGATAGTCATCGAAGACTTTTAACCAATGATGATAAAAAAGATGTTTCACAAAACCTTATCCTACAAAGTAGAAGTTCTGGATTTAGAGTCCAGAACTTGATAGTTCCAAAGCTAAAAAGCCCATATTCCTTTACATGTTTATACAATCAACAGCATAGTAAAAGAGCATTTAAATAGTGCCTGTGTTAAACTCTGACCTAAGTGCTGCTTGGGAGTGGGATAGCAGATCACTGAAGTTCTGTTTTCAAGTGAGATGGATTTGCCCCTTGTTTCATTGTATCCTTTATGTTCAAAAATATCTAAAATGAAGTATATAGATTTCAAGGCAACTGTAACCTAGTAAGTCATGTTTACAAGGTGAACCAAAGCTTATTCGGTCTCTTCTGGTGGAAGAGGACACAAATTAAGTTTTAGGATGACAGCATTCTATGCCACTGCTGTGATTGAAATTATTGGTGGGTACCTGGTGTTTTGTATGAGTGGCATTCTCTATCCTCTTTCTAAGGCACCAGCAACTCTATTCTTTGGGCATGGCCCTTCCTCCTCTGGTCACAGACCTGGCATATGACTTCAGCCTTGCCAATAACAATTGTTCAAGACCCAGCTCAGAGGTAGACATTTTACCAAAACTTGGAGTTATCTGCTATATACCTCTGCCCCCTTTTTCCCAGCATGGAGGAAACTAGTCTATAGCATGAGAGAATGAGAAAGACACACAGAAACTGAGAGAAAGATATCTGATTAATTAATGGAGACCATGAAATCTACTCCAAACATGGACTCCAAGTCACAGAACCCAATACACACTTCAGCTAGCCTGAGTTGTTTTTGGAAACTGCAACCAGGAGAATTCTGATAAATATAAATTCATACCATGCACTAACAATTTATTACTCCTCTTTCAACCTGAGCCAAATTCAAGTATAAGGTCAAGGATAACCAGTGTCCATGGCCAATTTCCTATGTTACACTCTCTCACCCATTAGTGAAATAAACCATTCTTTAAAACATTAAAACAACGAGACAGCCATCAAGACCATGAAATAATTATTTACAACTCTACACATATTTATTTTGTTTTAAATTATAGTAAACATATGAATAAACTCAATTCTCCCAGATTATTCTTTTAATTTTACAATAAATTCGCAAGCAATTCTACAAGCAATTCACAAAAACAAGAAATCAAACAGAAAAATTATTAAAAGCAAGGGATACATCTGACAATTTAGATTCTTCAAAGAGAGGGTTGTTTTTTTCTGTTTCGTTCAAGTCCTCTGTCTTCACGGGATTATTAAAATGTAGAGTAAGGTCACATAGCAGTAACTGGGAGAGCTCTGTACAGAACAAAACAATGGAAGATATTAATATCATTGTAGCACACACATGAGAATAGAAATATTGCCCAAAATAGCTATTTTATAACTCCAAATTTAATTTTTTCAAGTGCAATAGATCCAACCACAATTTAGATGTGCCTACTTTTGACTTAGTATCAGATGTATCAATTACAAGGTAAGAATGACAACATTTTATTAGAAGGGTTTGTCAGCCAAACCAGTCAGCTCTATTACTAAACTGTAAATTGATTTCTGTAAACTTGATTTATACATTATCTAAATTATATAACAGCAACAACACAAGTTATACATACAAAAGTGTAAAGAATCAAATAGGTCTTTAAGGCTAGCTTTAAAAAAATAGCAGTTCCTACCCTCCAAGAGGTAATCACTTTAAACTCTTCTAGTTTATTTTGGTTTTATTGCTTTTGTTATTGATTTGTGTTTTTTGCTTTTGGTATTTACCTCCATATCATTAAATAATGTGCTCATGATAGCTTTTTTTGTTGTTGTTGCTTTCAATTTTAAGTATTATCTACTTTAGATTACAGAAGATTAAGATTTAGCTCTGTTTACTCCTGCCATGTCCCCACAATATATTTATACTACACTTTTTGCTAGCTCAATATTTAAATTTTTCTATTATGTAAAAAATATTCTTCACAGCTGAATCTTTTAATATGGTATTTATTTTCCTGAAAGCCCCAACCCTTTGCCCCAAGTTAGTAATTGTCTTGTTTTTTCATTGCTTAATTATTACCAATGTATTCCAAATTTCTCCTGGTTGGATAAATCTTCTTTTGATACCTTCAAAAACCTTTGCTATTCTATGGTGGAAAAGTCGCCCCTCTCCTGGCCTTCTGGAAGGGTTGCTCTCTAAGACTGCTGTCCAGCTCACAGCTTGAGAACTCCTTTTACCATTATTCTAAGGACTCCTTTCACCCCTTTGGTGTTGAATTTTGTTTCCAGAATCTCATGTCTTTCTCTTTTTGGTCTGCTCTCTTGTTTGGTGGAATACAGCCTCAGCAATTTCCCAAGGGAAAATAATTACATGGCTGAAAATATCTCTAAACACTCATTTTAGATTAATTGACTGGGTATAGAAATCTATGTTGGAAATCATGTTCTTTCCAATTTCCAAAGGCATTACTGCATTGCCTTCTAGCTATTAAAAGTTTTCATACGATTCTGATCGTCAATCTTTCTCTCTCTCTGGAAGGTTTAAGGATCTTTTTGTTCTCGTAGTATTTTCAGATTTCACAATATTGTGTTTTCATACATTGTGATGGACTCTTTCATTGTAGAAACTCATGACCTTCAGCTTTGGGCAATTTTCTTACATTATATCTTTGATGAATTCCTCCCCTCCTTTGGCCTATGTAAGGAGCTCTGGTGGTGCAGTGCCTAAAGCATTTGACTGCTAACCAGAAGGTTAGAGGTTCAAACCCACCAGTCACTCCACAGAAGTAAGATGGGTCGATCTACTTCTGAAAAGATTTACTCCCTCAGAAACCCACCAGGGATCACTATGAGTCGGAATCAACTTGAGGACAATGAGTTTTTTTTTTTTTAGCTTTTGTCCTATGTACTAACTCTGCTACTTATTGGATGTTGAACCTCCCTAATTTTTCCTAGTGAATCCTATCTCTTTGATCTACAATCTAGATTTTCTTCATTTTATACTCAACCTCTTAAATAGTACTCATTTGTTTTCACATTTTAAATTTCTAGGCACTCCCTTTCGTTTTCTAAATATTCCTTTTTTAGAGTACCCTGTTCCTTTTTCATGGACTCAACATTGTCTCTGACTTCTCTGTGGATATTAATGAGAGCTTTCACCTCTCTTCATAATCTTTGTTTCTTCCTCATTGAATCTGTTTCTGCTCCTCATATGACATGCTTTTCTCAAATATCTGTTGTACTACAGCTGTCTGCTCATATCTAACACTGGGGCACTAAAAAGATCAATTTGAAGCTCCATGCTCATAGTAGTCTATGCTCACAATTTCTGGCTTGGTTATTTTGTTGGAGAACCTCTGCTATCAGTGTCTTAGGTCTTTTCTCTTACCAAAAACCAATCTTAC